AGGAGTGAAATCACAAAGGCCAAATTACACTTGGAGCTGCAGCTAGCAAGGGATGTTAAGAGTAACAAGAAGGGTTTCTTCAGGTATGTTAGCAACAAGAAAAAGGTCAAGGAAAGTGTGGGCCCCTTACTGAATGAGGGAGGCAACCTAGTGACAGAGGGTGTGGAAAAAGCTAATGTACTCAATGCTTTTTTTGCCTCCATCTTCATGAACAAGGTCAGCTCCCAGACTACTGCACTGGGCAGCACAGCATGGGGAGGAGGTGACCAGCCCTCTGTAGAGAAAGAAGTGGTTCAGAACTATTTAGAAAAGCTGGATGAGCACAAGTCCATGGGGCCAGATGCGCTGCATCCGAGGGTGCTAAAGGAGTTAACGGATGTGATTGCAGAGCCATTGGCCATTATCTTTGAAAACTCATGGCGATCGGGGGAGGTCCCGGATGACTGGAAAAAGGCGAATGTAGTCCCCATCTTTAAAAAAGGAAAGGAGGAGGATCCGGGAAACTACAGGCCAGTCAGCCTCATCTCAGTCCCTGGAAAAATCATGGAGCAGGTCCGCAAGGAATCAATTCTGAAGCACTTAGAGGAGAGGAAAGTGATCAGGAACAGTCAGCATGGATTCACCAAGGGCAAGTCATGCCTAACTAACCTAATTGCCTTCTATGACGAGATAACTGGATCTGTGGATGAGGGGAAAGCAGTGGACATGTTATTCCTTGACTTTAGCAAAGCTTTTGATATGGTCTCCCACAGTATTCTTGCCAGCAAGGTAAAGAAGTATGGGCTGGATGAATGGACTATAAGGTGGATAGAAAGCTGGCTAGATCGTCGGGCTCAACGGGTAGTGATCAATGACTCCATGTCTAGTTGGCAGCCGGTATCAAGCAGAGTGCCCCAAGGATCGGTCCTGGGGCCGGTTTTGTTCAATATCTTCATTAATGATCTGGAGGATGGGGTGGATTGCACCCTCAGCAAGTTTGCAGTTGACACTAAACTGGGAGGAGTGATAGATATGCTGGAGGGTAGGGATAGGATACAGAGGGACCTAGACAAATTAGAGGATTGGGCCAAAAGAAATCTGATGAGGTTCAATGAGGACAAGTGCCGAGTCCTGCACTTAGGATGCAAGAATCCCATGCACTGCTACAGACTAGGAACCGAATAGCGAGGCAGCAGTTCTGCAGAATAGGATTTAGGGGTTACAGTGGACGAGAAGCTGGATATGAATTAATAGTGTGCCCTTGTTGCCAAGAAGGCTAACGGCATTTTGGGCTGTATAAGTAGGGGCATTGCCAGCAGATCAAAGGACGTGATCATTCCCCTCTATTCAACATTGGTGAGGCCTCATCTGGAGTACTGTGTCCAGTTTTGGGCCCCACACTACAAGTAGGATGTGGAAAAATTGGAAAGAGTCCAGCGGAGGGCAACAAAAATGATTAGGGGGCTGGAGCATATGACTTATGAGGAGAGGCTGAGGGAACTGGGATTGTTTAGTCTGCAGAAGAGAAGAATGAGGGGGGATTTGATAGCTGCTTTCAACTACCTGAAAGGGGGTTCCAAAGAGGATGGAGCTAGACTGTTCTCAGTGGTACCAGATGACAGAACAAGGAGTAAGGGTCTCAAGTTGCAGTGGAGGAGGTTTAGGTTGGATATTAGGGAAAAGTTTTTCACTAGGAGGGTGGTGAAGCACTGGAATGGATTACCTAGGGAGGTGGTGGAATCTTCTTCCTTAGAGGTTTTTAAGGTCAGGCTTGACGAAGCACTGGCTGGGATGAAATAGTTGGGGATTGGTCCTGCTTTGAGCAGGGGGTTGGACTAGATGACCTCCTGAGGTCCCTTCCAACCCTGATATTCTATGATTCTATGAAGTATGGACCCTGGGGGGGTTGTGCAGGATCATACTCAGATGCCTAGCCCATGTCGCTGCCCGTGTCACAACATCCATGCTGCTAGTTTTAGTGTGCTAACTCAAGCAGAGCTAGTGTTTGTCTGTCTAGCCAGGCTGGGAGGCACACTCCCAGCTGCAGTGGAGACATACCCAGCATTGGTTGTGCAGCTGACTGTGATTCTGATGGAGGGTTCTATCATTCTCCTCTGACATACCCATTGTGGCCATTTTGGAGGCCTGAAGTCCTTTGGGTGGGCTACATTTGGTTTGTTTGGTGCACTGCTCCTGCTTCACTTTGGGAGCAAGGTCACCCTTATCCTTTTCATTATAGGTTTTTCCCTTTTATCAGCTGCCGGTCAGGAAGAGAGTTCAAGTGTCTTTTCTGGCCTCAGATCTGTCTCCCGAGTATAGAGCCCATCTTTTCTGATGCAAAAATACACCTCTTTACAGTCCCTCAATACACTTCACTTTAGGAGCAAAGAGAAACAATTGAGGCACTTTTTACCTCTGGGCTCTTTTGGCATTTGTTCTGCCATAGCAAGGGGGACTGGCCTGCAAAAGGGGAAAACCTTTGCAATGAAGTTTTGTAGATCATATTAACATATAGTGTTTTAGATATACAATTGAAATTGTTTTGGTTCATTTTCAGCCCTTGAAGCTCTGGAGACAAAAAGAACTGGAGTAGCTTAGCTTCAGTGGGAGAAGCTAAGCCTGTATCCAAAGCCAACAAGTTTGTCTCTGCCTCCAAAAGCTGCAGGGTAGACTAAAGACCCACAGTCAGAATTTGCCTAAGCAACATAATTTAAAATACTACTATTGGCAGGACGTATATTTTTGAATGCTGTGCACAACTTATTTTATGATGAGCAAATCAATGATGTGGCATTGATGCAAGTAGTGTTTTCCTTTATAAATCTGGACCTTGACCACGTAAGATTTGGATAACTCATCTGCAATTTTTTTTCACTCATCATGATTGACTCCATACAAGAAGTATGGAGAATTGTATGTAATCAAAAGAGCTTTAAAACTTCAACTCCTAAACATTTACAAAACTCCAGTTTTCTGTGAGAGACTAAAATGTACACTTTCAACTAACGCTAGTGGCTTGTGGAATGCTTTCCAAAGCTGGCTGGTTAGCAGCATAGCCACATGCTTTTGACATCTAGATGAATTTGTCCCAGCCAATCTATTCTAATTTGTATTATTTAATTCATGTCTGAGGTGTCAGGTTCAACCTCCCTCTCTCCTAGGTGTTTTAGGATATCAGAAGGATATAGGAGTTTTGTCTAAGAGCTTGACCAAGACATGTTGGTAGATCCTTACTAAGCCACTAGCCAATAATATACACACTTGCCCTTGTTCGAACTTTTTTGCCTTGTTTTCAATCCAACTGACCTCATTCAAACCCAAATCTCTTTCTGACAGTCCTTCTCTACACAGGACTGGCATTTAAAATGTCAACCGACCCAACTTTGTTGTTAAAGTCAAATTATACGTATTTAATTATTTAAGTCTCTTCTTGTAAGCTTTATGACCCCTTAGTTATTTATGTTGCTCTTTGAATACCCTCCAATTTGTTGACAGAGATTCGGTACTGAGGTGCTAAGAACAAAATGAGTGGCATGACAAAGTCAGGCTGGACTGTTGCAAGAGAGTGGTGGAAGGCAGGTATGTTAGCCCTAGAAAGATAAAGGCCCTTTTTCTTATAATCTGAGAAGGGGTTGCCTCAGACCTTTGAAAACTCCTCCTCTGGTGAGAGAGGGGGAGGAGAGACAAGCTGCTGCAAGGCTAGGGGCAACAGGGAGAGAGGCTTCTCCAGGTTGAGAGGCTGTTCTCCTCCCTACAGGGGAAACAACCAAATCTGAGTGCCTGTTTAGGGGAAGGACTGACATCCCAGGGCCAATAAAAGGAAAACACCCCCATGCCCCTAGAGAGGGAGGCAGCAGGAAAAGATATCTCCCTTTATTTTGTGTTTGTGAATTTGACTCTTTTGTTTGGTGGAAGAGCACTCCTTGGGCCTGCCCCAAGGCCTACCTTGAAAATACTGATAAATAAACAGAGAGTGGGAAGACAAACTATATCCGGAGTGGGGCTGATTTACTTCAAGCCCTGCCACTGCCAGAGAGGGAAGTGCTAAGCCCAGTGAGAAAGAGGAGGTGCCTGGGCACAGTGGGTCAAATTCTGATCTGTTACATCTGTGCAATCCCACTGATTTTGATTTCACATTCTAGGTACTCTCTCATCTATCCTGTATTAGAGAGTCCTTATTACTTCTTTGACGTGATGCCTCTGGCAGAGCAGCCCAAAATTCCATTGGCCACTTTTCATCACTATACTGCATTATAAGATCATATCTAACTGAGCTTACGGCATCACTGCTTTCCAAGTGGTTCCCACCCCCTAAATATCTATGTTCAGATTTGTTGCTCTCATTGTATCATAGTTTATATTTCCAAGCTGATTCTCATATTGTTATTTCCAGGCTCTCTAGACCCCTTTGTGTTATTTCTGTCTTCACAAGTGTTCACACAACTTTCAAATTAGGTATAACCTGAACTGAACTAATTGTTGCTTAACCTTACCATGTATTGTTCACTACTGATGGCATTAAATAAAACCACATTTAACACCAATATCTACAGTAGTCCATACCTCTATATCCCCATATTATGCGCCATTTCCTTTTGTTATCTAGTTTTCACTCTGGATGGTAGTTAGTATTTATAAGCAAGTGACTATGAATTAATTTTTTAAGTAACATTTTTGGAGGGCACTATATCAAATGCTTTACCTATCAAGTTAGACAAAGATCAGGCAAAGTGAACATCAGGGGAAAATTCCTAACAGTGCAGTCTATTAAACTGTGGAATAACTTGCCAGCCAAAGTGGTAGAAGCCCTTTCACTTGAGTTATCATAAATTAAACTAGACAATGCACTTGAAAGTATGCAGTAGAGAGCAATCCTGCACTGTCACATAGATGGACAAGATGACCTGTTAGTAAAGATCTATCTATAATTTTTCAAAAACATTATACATTTAAATTCTGTTTATGAAAATAAAATGTCATTGAACTTATGCATGCAAAAGAAACAGTATCACTCTTCATACCATGCTCATACGGTGAGAAAGTTCCAGCATCTATATTAATATAAGGATCAATTTTGATTGCAGTGACTCGTAGACCACATGATTTCAGTATGGTGCCAATGCTGCTTGCAATGATTCCTTTGCCAATGCCTGAGATGACACCACCGGTTACTAGGATGTACTTCATTGGAAAATGAGTAGCAGCACATAGGTCTCGAGTTGGAAATCTAACAGTGACAAAAAGCACATTTGGTAAACACACATTTATCCTTAGAAATCACACTAAATCAGCATGCAGAAAAGGAAAGCCAAAATGAGCTTCAGAAACCAAAATATCAAAATTAATAGTCACAATTTTGGACTTTAAATCATTTTAAATTTAAAGTTTTTTAAATCACTTCATACATATTCTGCTAACTTTAGTTCAAGGATTTTTCATTCTGATGACAGTAACCACAGTAAATTTTATCTTTGTCTGATAGTTCTATCTTTAGAGGAAGAGACTGAACCTCTGCAGGACTGTCCAAACCAAAGGATCCCCTCGCCCTGTTTTCCAGCTGTTTTTCATTCTCCCATCTGCCCCCAGAGCCTATCATGTAGCCACTATTCTTCGAGAGGGCTTGCTGTCCCCACTAAGCCCAGGAAGCAACAGACTGGAAAAGGAAAATGGAACCAGATCTTCCACAGAACAATGCACGGCACTACTGATCACCAGCCCAGAACTGGATTAGATGACCTCTCAAGGTCCCTTCCAGTCGTACGATTCTATGAAACAAAAGTAAAGAAATGCTTATATAGCACAATTAAGCCATCTTGCACAGCCTAGCTTTTATTTCTTTGACTTAACTTAGACCATTACAGTTACTTATATCCATAATGTCAAGGTTGTGTTTAACTTTAGTATCTTCATGAAGTTAAAGTGCTATATAAGTGCTAAGATTTTTTTTGGTTTTGTTTTCATAACAATAAGCAGTACTGACATTTATGTGAAACTGAAATGACATTATTTTCATTTTTTTTTCTTTATTTGAATTTTAGATGTGACCATCAAAAATCTTTAGGCACATGACTGATACTTAAATTCACATATTACACTGTAAATCTATTGTATCAAATGACATTTATTAAGTGTTATTTTTGTTTTTAATGCAATACTATTTTTTTTATATAAGAATCCTAGAATTCCATGAGTATTAGGTGGCTAGTAAAATAATTTATATTTTAAATTTTATCTCAAGTACACAGCTTGGTCAAACCTCTGCCTAGAAATCAGTATGCATACAGTAATCTTCTTATTTGTTAATACTGTGCAAACACCACACACTTTGGACCACAGAGAAATTGCATTAAACTGAAAAAAAGCACAAGTACAAAAAACATTGACCAACAGAGCCCTTTGCTTTGAATGACAGTGTGACTATAGATTCAGTATACAGACTTTGTGTTGCTAAAGAAAAATCCCAGTCAATTCAAAATCGGGTCTTAAAGGACAGTCAGCTTAAAAATTATGGGCCACACTCTCTGCTATGTTGGTTATTCCCCTATCAGGACAAAGAAACTTTGTGAGTCTGAACTCAGAATCTCCTCAACCTTCTTCCATCTAGCAGGGGCACATGCCCCTACAGACAGTGCTGACCGTTCAAACTCAAAAACCTGTGTATGTCTGCATCTGCCAGAGGGATCGACCCATAAAGGCTCTGTGTCTCTGCACTGTTTCCAGGACCTCCCTACTTTCTCCCAAGAGTTCTCCAATTTCATCTTTAATTTATATGATTTTATAATTAATATTTTACAATTTTGAAGTATCTTTTGTTTTAAGATTAAAAAATAAACATTATTTTCAGCATATTTTCTTTACTTCTCCTGTCTAAGAATCAAAGATCTGGTTTGATTACTTCGCCCAGTATCTCACCGGAGAACTGACATAGGAAGTACAACAGAGCTAATGTACTGGACAAGAGGCAAATGAAATGGATTCATCCTTTTATTAAGATGTCAGAGATGAGTTAACAAGTACCAGACTGTCATTCAGAACACATGCTACACAGCAGGTAGATGTGTCATTTTCAGAAACCTCCTATCTTCTAAGCTATAAAATAATACAGAGTTCGAGGAAATATTACAGTGAAAAGATGAAGACTACTGTATCTGTAATATTTCCAAATTAAATATCAAATAAATCAAAAGACATTGGAATATGCGATAGTGATCAAAAATATACAAGAAGCTATAATAGCTTCAGAACGCTACCTTCTTCCATGTACAGCTGTAAGCAGTGCAGACCTTCCCAACATTACAATGTCACAATAAGCCTGCAAAACAGACAACAATAGGCACTAGTATTTATACAAGTCCAAGGCACAAGCTGTTTAAAAAACAGTGAGATGTATTTTCAGATGGTTCCCAGGAAAGACAGAGGTGTACAGCGCTTGTTAACACAATTCAAAGTTTCGCATCTAATTATTAATGATCTTAAAACATAAAGTCTCTACAAGAAGGGAGAGTGTGTGTGTGTCTGTGTGTGTCTGTGTGTGTGTGTACACAAGATAAAGCTTTACAGTCCTGCCCAGTAAATAAACACTCTATCAGAGAGCCTAACAAAAAATAGTGCTTTAAAAGAAATCTAGTAATTAGACCATGGCTTAACATATTACCAGATACCTACTAGCCAGGGGCAGACACAAAAAATGAGGTGAGGAGTCCAACAGCAAAGTTTACCATCCTGTAGTAAAACTACCCTGACAAGATGCTGTACGTAACTCCCACCCTAAGCCGCAGCTTCACTGCTGGAAAAAACCAGGGTGGTGGGAGCTCATCCTGCTGGATGTTCCATAGATCTGTTGTGGATGTCTGATCAATTCAAAGCTCTCTCCCAGCATCCTCCTCCGGCTGAGGAATGGGAAGAAGAGCAGGTTGTCACTTTACCGCTTTCAACCCAGACTCACATGTGGGGCAAAAAAAGAAGTTCCCACAGGATCAACGCAGGCCTGGTAATGATTTGGTACAGAGCAAACACTAGTGGAAAAGAAAAAAAATAGTTCCTTTACATTCACACTTGTTATAAGAAAAAATGTTAACTACAGAAGCCAAGAATGACAAAAGACAAATACAGAAATGAAAAATTTAGAAGAGTGGAGTACATGAAAATACAGAATTCACAACACAAGTGAACTCAGAAAGTATTAAAAGCAAACTTGTACTCTTATTGCTCTACATGGTTCTTGTATCAATTCTGTTTTTCTGAGATAATTCCACAAAAGAACTGACCTGAAAGACAAACAAGAAACCAAATCTAATGCTTGTACCAGTAGCAGTTCTGCTGATAGGCAGAACTATTTATTGGCACTCTAGTGAAAATACTTGCAAAAGGTTTATAAAACTGGTTTGAACCATAGAAGGGACGTCATGCTGTGATCGTCATTCTCTGGTTCTTAACAATTTGCATTTTTTAAAATCCCCTTTTTAGTGGCTTAGAGGCAATCTCACTTGCTATGTACACAACTGCAGTACTGCATATACAAGAAACAGTGTAAAACTTGAAAATAGTGCTAATAACAAAGCCTCTAAGTCTGCAATGCAGTGCACAAAAGCTGACCTCTACCTCCATGCAGAGCCCTGCTGATATCAATGGTGTTCTGCACAGCTTCAGGGTCTATCTAAATAGAGTAACTTGCAAGATTGGGGCTTAAATTTCAAAATTTTCACTCATTTGAAAAATAAGTGGAATCAATTTTACTTTACACATTAATGATTGATAGATAGATAGATAGATCAGGGGTTCTCAAACTGGGGGTCGGGACCCGTCAGGGGGTCACGAGGTTATTACATGGGGGGTCATGAGCTGTCAACCTCCACCCCAAACCCCGCTTTGCCTCCAGCATTTATAATGGTGTTAAATATATTAAAAAGTGTTTTTTTAATTTATAAGGGGGGGGTCGCACTCAGAGGCTTGCTGTGTGAAACAAAAGTTTGAGAACCACTGAGATAGATAGATAGATAGATAGATATACTCTTTTCAGGTCACCTTCTATTTGTCCTTCTACTTCTGCCTGGGTTCTCCCCTTAGCCAAAACATACGTCATTCCACTGATGCTGATCACCACAAGGGGAGCAGGATTATTGCTAAGCAATGTCCCTCCTAATGTTTCAGAGATGGCCAATCAACAAAGTGCAACAATGTAAATAAATAAATATTAATAATAATAATACCTGGCTGTTATGTAGACCACAAAAACTGCCTCACATGTGGAAATTTTAAATTGCTCAAAATATTTTAAAAGAATGTTACATATTTTAACCTATGTGAATGTATACATATAGATAATATTTTATAACGTTTTGAATACTTTACATATAGTACACATAGGCCTGGTCTACACTAACCCCCCAATTCGAACTAAGGTACGCAACTTCAGCTACGTGAATAATGTAGCTGAAGTCGACATACCTTAGTTCGAACTTACCGCGGTTCAGACGCGGTCCACACGCGGCAGGCAGGCTCCCCCATCGACTCCGCGGTACTCCTCTCGCCGAGCTGGAGTACCGCAGTCGACAGCGAGCACTGCCGGGATCGATTTATCGCGTCCAGACCAGACGCGATAAATCGAACCCAGAAGTTCGATAGCCAGCCGTCGAACTACCGCGTAAGTATAGACATACCCATAGTGGGATGTATACCTGATCACAAAGCTTATCCACAAGCCCAGAAAAGCCACTCCATCAGATAAAATGTCATTATTGTAGCAATATTATAACAAGGGCTTGAAAAAATTAACTGACACCTACTGGCAGAGGCTGACACAAAATTCTCCCTCAACCAATGAGCTGCAGGGAAAACATCCTGGCCAGTATAGCTATCACTCTTATAGCTGAGAAGAGGAAGGGTGCTAGGATTCCTGCCAGCAAATCTGGGGACTCCATTATTCATAATGTAGTAAAACTTCAGAGTTATGAACATCTCAGGAATGGAGGTTGTTCGTAACTCTGAAATGTTTGTAACACTGAACAAAACATTATGGTTGTTCTTTCAAAAGTTTACAAATGAATGTTGACTTAATACAGCTTTGAAACTTTACTGTGCAGAAGAAATATTCTGCTTTTAACCATCTTAATGTAAATGAAAAAAGAACAGAAACAGTTTCTTTACCTTGTCAAATCTTTTATTTAACCTTTCTCTCTCATTTTTTTAGTAGTTTACATTTTTTATTTATTTATTTTTTGTCTCTGCTGCTCCCTGATTGCATACTTCTGGCTCCAAATGAAGCATGTGGTTGACTGGTCGGTTTGTAACTCTGGTGTTTGCAACTCTGAGGTTCTACTATATCCTCTGATGAGTAGTACTGAAATGTGAAGTGCCTCTTCCACACAGCCATCCCTCCTCTGGCTGCTAGGAGAAAACGGGAGAGTCTCTAATACTCTACTCCAGGGGTTGGCAACCTTCAGCAGGCAGCCCATCAGGGCAATCCGCTGGCAGGCTGCGAGACATTTTGTTTACCTTGACCATCTGCAGGCACGGCGCCCCGCAGCTCCCAGTGGCCGTGGTCCGCTGTTCTCGGCCAACGGGAGCTGCAGGAAGCGGCGGGCTGATGCGGGGGGACCGTGTCTGCGGACGGTCAACGTAAACAAAAGACAAATTAGAAGCATTTAGTAGGTCATGGTTTCAGTTGTAGAAATGAAAGTATTATTTCCAAAGATCCCATGACTTGTAGATGAGCAGAGAAAGAATTTGACAAACCTAGCTAGGAAAGGGAAACAAAACAAAAACCACTGAGGGTATTAGGTTGCCATATGCTCTTAATGAGCGGACTCATGCAAATACACATGTGAATAACTTTACTCACACGATTAATTGCTTCTACTAACACAAGTTATTTTCAGTTAAGTGTTTGCAGGATTGTACCTCAAACCTGCAGCATTGTACTGAAAATGAATTAGTATAACTGGTGAATTTTTTATTTACTTTTCACATTTCTGTTGGTATTGTTAGAGCTGAGAACTGCAAATAGCCCTCAGCAAAATGGCTCATATACTATATAAGTCATGTCCATGACTAAAAAGTTATTTGGCCCTAGATTTGACCTGGGACCTGAGCATCAGGAGGTATTAATGATCCCTGCACAGGAAAGCTACAAGCCTCCAATTTTTGTTGATAAATTTGCTAAAACTAATCTATGAGGATGAAATCCATTAACAGAAATAATTTCTACAATTATTGGAATATACCCAATCATTGGACAGAAAGAGGCTCTAGTGTACAACTTAAAGATGTCTAAATATTAAAAAAATATTAGGAAGAGTGCAAGGAGGAATAGAGGACCCATAGGCCTCATCTACTCTGGGGAAATACATGTTGCTGACAATAGCTGACAGCAACACCTTGCCTGGCTTCAATTAATGCTGAAAAGAATTCACCTGCTCATGTATATGGACTCAAATCGTTTTCAACCCTATCACAGCAGAACATTATCTCTATCATGCTTTTAATCATGAGAGTGAATCAGCTTCCTCCTCCAGCCAGGCTACCAGTTAAACTGCTTCAGCAGTGGGTCATTTTCCTAGTGTCCTAACATGCACGGGGGGGAGGAAACGGTGAAGTGTTTGCCCCTGTGTGCTGTCACCCGGTCTCGGGCAAAGCTGGTGTGGCTCCCATGTTTTTACAGGAGAGGTGGGCAGTGACTACCCACACATGCAAGCAACACGGTCGTGCTGCCTGGGTGAAGGGGGCAGGAGCTAAACCCCCCTTCCTGTAACCCCAGCGCAATCCGGGGCTTCAGGGGCGCCCCGAGCGGGATTATGGGCCCCCACGGCCCTGGCAGCGGGGGGAGAGGAGCTCAAACCCGCTGCTGCTGCTGTCACCGGGGCGCCTGAAAGCAGCGCCGCCCCCGGGGGAACCTGCCCGGCCCGGGGACAGAGGGGAGCCTTTGCCGCGGCCGCTCCCCCTCGCCCCGGGCAGGAGGGCGCAGCGCGGGAGGCCGCAGAGGCCAGGCAGGCTGCAGTTACCTGGGCGCGGGCTGCGACTCAGCGGCGGAGGCGGTTGCAGGTTCTTCCTCCCCGGGCCCAGGTGCCGCAGGCGGGAGGCAGAGGGAGTCTCCGGGCGGCCGCCTGAGGGAGCCCGCGCTGCAGCCAGCGCCGAGCCGCGGCCCGTAGGTGGGAGGGGGACCCGGGCCAGGCAGCCAGAGAGGCCTGAGGTCCGTGGGTGAATAATGCCCCTTGCAAACCGTGTCCTCCACACAAACTTACTTGCTCTGCCCCGCCGGCGCTTTTGCTCATGCATTTTTACTTGAGCTGCCTGCCCCAGCCTGGGACACTTTTTGGCACGAGCATTTTGCGACCAGACTGCTAGCTATATATTTTTTTAATATCGACCTTGAAAATCTCCCGTGTGTAGCTCGGAATAGCCCACTGTTCTCACCATACTACTGCTACTGCTTTCAAGTCTCCACGATATTTAAATTACTAATAGAGCTGATTTTTTCTTGATTTTCCAATCCCCTGGGAATTTCTGCTGAAGAATGTGAGTGATGCAGACAATGGATGTAAATGATGTTAGCACACACAGTCCATCTCCCTGCATTGGGATTTAGGTCCTGATCATGCAGTTAAATTCACATAGTTGAACCCTTGCAGCTGTGCAGAGTCCTATTGATTTAACTGATTGGAATCTCACTCTGAAAAGGAATGAAATTTAAATATAAGGGTGCAAAGTGATTAAGAAGATGAGTTATCAGAGACCTGGTGCAACTGTTCCTGATTTGAGGGACTGGAAAATAGGAAATAAAATGTTTGGTCAAATGCTGCCTTCACATATTCTGGTGCAAGCTACTGACCCAAGATTTATAAGTAATTTCAAAATTATGGAGACTTACAACAGCAACATGGAAATCAGATAAGAAGATACTTTATTTCACTATTGAAAGGAAAAGCAAACTTTTTCTAAAGGTCGTCTTCTTTCAAGGCTGATTTTGCAGCCACTGTGAACACAGAACTCATATTGATGTAAATGGCTGCTCCAAACACAATACAGAATTGAGCTTTAAAAGACAGAGCATGATAAATCTATCTCCAGCTTTGTTGATTGTTCAGAAGTTAGTTTTATTTTTGTTAATGTAATTTTATATATAACATAGATCCTTTTGATTCATTTTAAACATTCTCCTGCATCATGCACTGATCTGATTCTGTCAGTGTCTCTTCCCTCTATGCTTACCTCTTAATTCTCAAAAGGGTCTCATGCTATTTCACCTTTCCTAACTCCACTTGACCACTACCGGTATGTGGAGACACCATCATCATGGCAAATCCTAAAGGGATCCGGCCTTCTTGCAGATTCAGGGCCACCTGGATCATGTCTGGCTATGTGCTTAGGCTGTATATTCACTTTATGGCCATCACCAGCAATCTTATTGCATCACTGAAGCTTTTGGCACCCACTTGATCGCCAGTTGTGTAGCTTCACTCCTTGATACATACGCTATGGAATTTGTTGGTCTTCCATTATAATATGTCCATACGGAGAAAGCCACCAAAACTTGAAGACATAATCTTAAAAAAGCATTGTCAGGTTTAACGTTGTTATTTTTACAGAGCCATAGTACTTTATGGACAAACACAAATGACAGCACCCTGCCCAAAGCAGCTTGCAATGTATGGTCCCGATTATCCACATGCTGAATTTTACACACATGGGAAGTCCTATATGACTTCATGTGACTATTCATCTGTACTTAAAATTAAGTACATGCATGCATGATCAGGGCCTAAGTTTGCATGTATAAGATCAGTGGGTTGAGGTGACAAAAGTGCTGCAGGGGAAATGTATTTATTTACAAAATAGCATGTGTATGTACAAACTAAACAAACCCCCAAACCGTGGTTTTTCGGCAGTGGTGGGAGAACATAGTGGATCACCCCTCTCCCTCCTTGCCTTCCAGGAACAGCGAGCCTGCAATCTTTTTGCACATGCACTTGCCATTGACTTCAATGAACAATCCCCACGTGGGAGAACTTGCGGGAGAGCAGGAAGCTCCTGCACTCAAATCCCCCCCTCTCTTGTACCCCACTGACTGTCCCCTTTCCTTTGCTTCCCTATCGCTAGCCCCCCTCCCCCCCGTTCCCCCAGCCAACCGCTCCGCCCCTCACCTGCCTCTTCCTTCCCCCTCCCCATGGGAGGAATAGAGAGAAGGAAATACAGAGCGTCTCTGCCCTGTGACCTACGGAAGTGACGTAACCCGGAACGGATGGGGTAGACCCCAGTTTCCGGATACAGTGTTGTGTCGCTCTCTTTCTGTGGGCGCTTCCGTTAGAGCCGTTGGGAGCGGCTGCGGGGGCTGGTAATCGCTGGAGTCCGGCACCGCGAGCGGCCGAGGCCGCTTCCTGCGGGATGCTGCGGGGTCTGGGCAGCTGGTTCGGGCTGGAGCGGGCGGGCGAGGAGCAGAAGCCGCCGCCCGAGGGGAGCAGCAGCCCCGGGGAGCGGAGCGAAGCCGGGGGCGCCGAGGGGGAGGAGGCGGCGGGCGGGGACCCGGCCGTGCGGAGCCAGGAGCAGGTGGATACGGATCCACTCCTCAGCCAGGCCAAAGGACTCGGCAGTGAGTGTCCTGCCCGCGCACGGCCCGGCAGCCCCCAGCCAACAGACCTCTCGTCCCCATTTACCCCCCCTCCCGGCCCGGCACTCCCACACACGCACCATTCCCGTCCCCCCACAGATCCCACCCACCCCCACACTGACACCCCCGACTGCATACCCCGCACACTGACAAGCCCCCTTATCCCTGTTCTCCTCCCCCCCACACGCACATACTGACCAGCCCTGACAGCTACCCTCCCCACAGATGCTGATCCCTTTCCCCCACGTCGATCTGGCCCTGCAACCCGAACACCTGCCTCTGCCCACTCACTCACTCCCCCTATCCCCACCCCACCCCTGCACACAGTTGATTGCTCATCACCGTGGGACTTGCTCTCCTGCCTTGACACATTCCCGGAGTCTCACCCAGAGCTTCACAGGACAGGTTAAAACTCTAAAAAGGTGCTTGGGGAAAACAATATAGATGCTCTTTACACCATATTATAACACTCTGGGGGTGGGAGAACTTCCTGCAGGGGTTGTGGTAATAGAAATATCTTAATAACAGTCAGCTGATGGGGGTATCTTAGAGTTTATCTGCACACAAAAATTGTCTCACTTTAGTTAAAGTGCAATAACCCCCTCTAAGTGTTGATGCAGTAATACAGATATAAAGGTCTCTTATACTTGGCTAACTTATTACCATAAGGAAAGCAGAGTAAGCTATAGCAGTAAGTCACCTTTTTACTAGTATGAGGCCTGGTCTACACTAACCCCCCAATTCGAACTAAGGTATGCAACCTCAAAAAAAACTTTTTGAGTCGACGTACCTTAGTTCGAACTTACCGCGGTCCAGACGCGGCAGGCAGGCTCCCCCGTCGACTCCACGTACTGCTCTCGCCGAGCAGGATTACCGGAGTCGACGGCGAGCACTTCTGGGTTCGATTTATCGCGTCCAGACAAGACGCGATAAATCGAACCCGGAAGTTCGATTGCCAGCCGCCGAACTACCGCGTAAGTGTAGCCAAGCCCTAAGTAAAGGAGGGTTTTACCAGTATGACTAATTCAGTTAAAAAAACCCTACTGCCTTGACTGAAATAGTACAGTACCTGGGTGTAGGCCTGGCAAAAAGGTGCTTCTTAAAAATCATGTTATCCCTTAGGCTCTAGTTAGATTATAGGAAAAGGTGCCTTTTTAAAAATCCCGGTAATGTAGTTGTTGAAAACCACTCAACACCAAGTAGGTCCAATTTAATACCTTTAACTTGATTTTAGCAGGTCAAGTTATAGCATAAATGGGACCCATAACTTGACCTGCTAAAATCTGCTAAAGCTGTTAAACTGTGTCTACATTGGCATTAAGTGGGGTTTCGGTTGAGTTAAAGTGGCTTGTTTGAGTTAACTCCGGTGAAAAAACATTTTTTCCTAGTCAAGACCCCATAACATCTAGTGTAAACACTGTTTGATATTGTTTAAAGGAAGGAGCATGGTTTACAATATCACCAGCAAACAATTTTAAAGGTGCCACATTGTCTATGCTAGCTGCTAAGTGGTGTTTCAAGTCATGTTAGCTGACTTAATTTAAAACATCTCCCCCATCCCCACCCGCCCAAGTGAAGACCGGGCCTAAGGCTCTTCAATCCTCAGGATTTACCTCTTGAGAGACTCCAATCATCTCTTTCACTTGCCTAGGCTTTGCAAATCATGTATGAATTACATTATGTGATATAATTGTGGCATAGGTTTATGATATGTACCCAGTTGTCATGTATTCTGCATTTAACAAATTTGGACCTCTCCTGTATCTCTTTCACCCTAACCAGGATTTTCAAGAGACAGCCATGCAAATAAAGTTAGAAGCTGAAAATGAGGTGTCATTCTATAGTCTCAACTCCAACTTTCAGTGTTTCTGATGTCAATAATTTAGTTATAAAAACAGTGACAATAGAATGTATATGAGCGAGGTGGTGTTAACAATTCTGTGATGTCACTGTGCACTGTTCAAGGGACACCACCAAATTTGAAATCATGGCACAACTTTTTTTTTTTTAAATAGTTTTGGATACGAACCTTACCCCAAAGTTCCAGTGGCACATTTCCCTACTTTTTAAATGTGGTTATTTCCACTGTTGCTATGAGAGACTGACTATATAATCTGCTCTCTGAAGTAAAAATAAACTGAAAATATTTTTTTAAAAGTATTCTCTCTCATCTTTCAGTTATAGTGAACTTTGTTACAAATAATAAGTAAGCTGTTTTCATCAAACAGAGGTGTGGCTAGATTGATAGTGTTCCTTTAAACACCTGTTATATTCACCTCAGTTGGTGGGAGAAGTGATGTGTGCATAGAAAATAATATAGTGTAGTTTGTAAAGTGCAATAAAATGTTTGCATGAAAAGTTTTGTGTAGTACACCAAACTATGACATTTTATTTTATTGACATGTCCTCTGAATAAGTAAGGCTATTAACAGATAAAA